TTGCACAACGTATTGGCTATTTGTATTAAATATGCACAGTAAAAAAATTATATTATTAGAAATTGGTTGTCATTTTAGTTATCAAAATGCAAGTGATAATACTTTAGTTCTGAAACTTAGTGTGAAATTTGGGAGTTTGTTTTAAGAGTGATCAATTTCTTTATATCAATTAATTATTCTTAATTTTCTTATGCATTTATTTTTCAAATATAGCATGGAAGAAAATCCTCGTTAATACCCTAATATAACCCTCGCACAAATAGGCTTTGCAAAAAGGCAATCAAAATGTAATAGCTTTATTTGGAAATTCTTTTCTTCGTTTCAGCCAAAAGTTAACAAGTGTGTTATTTTTGAAATCTTCAGTTAGAGTTCGATCACAGGAAATTTCTATCAACTGTTCTTTTTCTTTACGAGATTTTTTAATTTAATTTAAAAAATCCGTTGTTTCTTTGCGTACCAACAGTGACACGTGTACCAACGGTTGAGAATCGCTGCCTTATAGACATTGAACTAACATTCACTATCATTGCTCTCAGCGTCACTCGTCATGAACGTTAACCAAAATTGCTTGCGTTGAACTAGTATTTTAGTTTTTAACGGTTGGTTTCGAGAACACAGTAGCAAGACATTTTGATTAACTGTATTGCAATGTTTGAAAAGATAATCCACACAGCCTCGATTCGAAAGCAATTCAAATTAACTAAATCCTATTATACGCGTTACAATGTGCGGCAATGGACATTCAAAGGTAATCATCTTCCGCTCCACGCAAACTCGCGCAGGAGATAGAATCTAAAGAGAATTTAAAACGCTTACAACATCACTTGATTCTCAACAGTTCTATTCGGAGAAACCCCATTCTGCGTCCGGCTGGTAATTACTAAATTTAAGTACGGACCTTGCGGGCAACGCAATGCAGAGAAATTAATTTGCTAGAAAGATAACACAAAGGAAGTGTTTCTCCGCTATCTTGAGTGTACTTCCAAATGCCGCTTTTAAATCCTTCTCTTTCTCCGGTTCTGGAAATATGATTATTTTTTATCAGCTAGATGTAAAACATAATCACATGTGAAGTTTGAGAAAATAATTCGTTCAAAAGTTCAAGTGAAATAAAGATAATGATCTTACGCCGTTAAGAAATAAAATATACAGAAATGCATTTGAAATCACGCGGTTTGAGATGATTGAGTTATAAGGTATATCTCCCGCCTTTGTAGAGTGCCTTCGTGGTGTAGTGGTTCCGCACGCTGGGCCGGTATTCCATAGGTCCGTGGTTCGATTCCCGGCGAAGGCGGTTGCTAATTTTTCATCTTGTTTGCTTCAAAAATATACGTAATGTCTCTACAGTGGCGCTCGAACAAAACGCGTCTTGGATGATGATTCTGCTCACTTAGGATTTGAGGACTGGGTCTCCTAAAAACCTTAGTCGACCTTTAAAAGGGGGCAGTATATAAGGTATTTCTGCCGCTTTCCTAGCGTGCCTTTGTGGTGTAGTGGTCAGCACACTGAGCCGGTATTTCATCATACGTCCTTAGTTCGATTCCCGGCGAAAGCGGTTGCTAATTCTTCATCTTACTTGCTTCCAAAATTACCTAATGTCTCTACAGAGTTGAGTAATAAAAAATAATTTTTTAGCTGTTATGCTATTCTTGATTACATGCGGCGAAAAACGAAATCGTAAACTCCTAACATTGGCAAATTTTAAATCAGAATTGCCAAAGAATGTCGTTTTTATGCTATTACTATTTATTATTATTTCTTAAAATTTATTTAATAATCATCTCATATAATCTGTATGTGGGCGAATAGTAATTTTGTTTTTAGTCATATAAGACCTATTAAAACTGTGCAATTTAAAAAAAAATATGTAAAAAATCTGTTTTTCGTGTAGTCCACACAATACAGGAAAGTCATAAAAAGTTACGAAATATGCATGACGTCATCTTTTTCTCAGAATCTTTCTACTGTTTGATACCTTAAACGTATACCCAAGTAATTTAAATTTCTGTTTAGTTCAGAGATTGGATTTCCTTTCCACTTAAAGTCATGGTGTAGAAAGATTAGATGTTTTTGGAAGTAGGCAAGATGAAAAATTAGCAACGCCTTCGCCAGGAATCGAACTGCGGACCTCTCAATTAGGCGCTGAGCGTGCAGACCACTGCACCACGAAGGCTCGCTAAGAAGCCGAAAGAAATACTTTATAATGGTACTATTAAAGTCATGGTGTTGATTTAAAATTTCATGATTACTATCAGCAAACAGCTTAAAAAAGCGGCATTATGTGCTTAGAATGTAGTAAAAGTGTTAAGTGTGTTGAAAGGCATCAAAAATCATTTTCAGATTTTGTGCCAAATACACAAGGATAAGTAAATTTAGAATCTGGAAACACCCTAGCTTATAACTGAGTCAAAGATATGCTTATTCTCTGAACATAACGCATGGATAATTTCAGTCGTATAGTAATTTTTCTATCATGTACATTATTATTGTTCAGCCTGATTGCTTGATAGAGGGATAATTCGCTAAAAATCACTATGTCAGCCGACACATAATAAACAGTCGCTTTCTGTATCTAAAAAAATAAATGTAGACGATAGATAAGGCGCCTTTATTTCTATTATTAAAAAAAAGCCTAACCATAACTTTACGTTAAATAACTTGGGCTGTGTGCAAGCCCTTCGAAAGCATTTGTGCTACCGAAATTCATTACATTCCTTATTTAGATTTCAGAATTAGCTTAACTTGATAGGGATAAAAAAGGAGGTTTGGTTATTTCAGTTGCATTAAGCTTTTTTAGCTCACTGCCTGATTAGTAGACATGTTCGAAAGAATTAGCCGGCTTAGAAATTGCTAATGACCTCGGTCCACAACGGCTAAATTCAGCAGGTGGCGCCGAATGATTAATGTACGAACCGAGCAGTTTGTTTCACGGAGTTGTAGTTATTGGATTGGAAATACTTCGGAATTCTAAAGGATAAAGTTTCGAATACAAACTGTAAAAAAGCGCCTTTCCATAAAATATAAGCATTTACTTGCGTCTGGAAAGAAATAAAGTATTAAGTTAAACTCAAAGCTACGTGAAATAAATATTTCTTGCGGTAATAAAAGCACAAAAGTAAGCCAAAAAAAGGAATCGTCTAAGCAAAATATTAATCCAATAAAATAAAAAAAAAAATATTAGTAACCAAGTACTAAACTTGAAAAATTATTTTCGTGTATATTGTGATATTTATTTTCATTAATATGCTAAATTCATTGGCGAAACTCTTTTGTAAATGGGAATATTAACAATTAGGATGCTTCCTTAGCCATTTTCATATTCACTAGTATTACTATTCAGAGTGATTAGCTACCAGACCGACAAATTTGCAAGGTGTGTAGGAGGTACAGAGATGACTCGGAATCACATAGGAATACAGGGTCGCAAATGGAGTAATTGCGAGCTATGGTGCAAAGAAGCAGAGAAAGAAGAGAAACAGCAACATATTAATGGGACAGAAAACATTTTATTGAAAGGTGTTTACGACTAGAAGTCTTTAGCCAGGCCCGACAGCGGCATTACATAGAATTCCTTACATTCTGGAAGATTCCTCCCGGCAGTCTTGCCATAGATAACACTGAATGGAAGGTTGCGTAAACAGCGATCCTGCTAGAAGTCGTCATTTGCGATCCATTTCGCAAGGTAGTTGGATGAACGCATATTCAAACAATGAACTGATCGACATGCTGATCATATATGGAACTGCAGATAGTAACGGGTACGCTGCTCGGCGGTTTTACCAGGAATGTTACCCTAAAAGGCGTGCTCTACATCACACGACCTTCGCAAGTGTGAACAGAAGGTTACGTGAGTCTGGTTCTTTAACGAGAGCTACAATGAATCGTCAGCGAACGAAGAGGACACCTGGCAATGAGGAGGCAATCTTATGTCTGGCAAAAGACTAGTCAACAAGTGAATTTATCTCAATTCATTGTCTGGAGGATGCTTGCAGCAATACAAATGAGCGCATATCATCTTCATCGAATCCAATTATTAGAGCCTGAGGACTATCCCCTTCGGAGGACGTTTGCTGCATGGTTCCTGCAACAGAATTCTACAGACAGAGCATTTGTTGCGTCCGTACTGTTCACGGATGAAATATACTTCACATGTGAAGAAGCCTTCAATGAGCATAACACCCATGTGTATGCTTTGGAGAACCCTCATCATACGCAACAATGTGCAGCTCAAAGAGCGTCTCTCGGTCAATGTTTGGGCATTGCCTCTCAAATATATAAAGCCATCAGCCTGGTCTGTGACGTCAGGAGTACTAGGCCGTAGAATACGAAACGGCGGAACTTCCGATAGCTACAATATCTCTGTGCATATGAGTATTAATTTGCTTAAAATAAAGAACTCTCAAAATAATACATAAACTATATTTCAACAATAAAAAAGTTATGTTACTATCGGACTATCTTTGAAAACTGTTTTAATTGATTAGACATATTATTTAAAATTAAAACATACTATTTCTTTAATGATTACGAATACCTTTACGATGATACCTGAAAATTAATATTATGGGAAAGTAAGTGTTCCGAAATATATTTATCACCTCAATAAAAACTATTTTTCTAATTATTTCAAATAGTTTAATTATGAAATATTTTTAAATGAAATTATAATTCTTATTGCTTTTACACTAGATCCTTAGTAGGAAACACAGTTACTACTATCACACTTTTAATGATACTGATCACATTCTTTAACAGGAATCAGACAAAGCTTCTATAGAAAATTAAACAGGTTTCACATTTTTATTTTCTCTTTATAAAAATATAAATAGAGAGAAAAACTTTAAGAAAGAGAAATATTGTTTTTAAACTTGCATAGCTTTTCAAAAGCAATGAAAGTCATTAAAACTCTAGAATAAATACTAATTTAAGGTCAAATAAATATTATTAACTTTAAAATTAAAATGAGTAACTTCTAACAAAATTATCATAATTATACTCACATTACAATACAGGAGCAATAAAACTCATTAAAGATGCGGGAATTTTGCTACAGAATTGAGGTGTATTATTGTATTCTTCAGTAACCTGAGGTAGTGTTACGGATTTGGTATTTAAACAGCTTATGTTAGTCGAATTGTAAATTAAATGAATTTATTTCCCGCGCAGTGCAGCGCGTGACGAATATCAAAAGAAAGCTAAGCCGGAAAATTGAAAATACAAGAGCGCGGGCATGTAACATTTAATAAATATCTCTTTTTGATTTCGAGAAAGTACTAGAAAATTCTCGCGCTCGAATTTAAAATCTTTTAAATAGGAGGAAAACCTCTCAATTCGATGAGTTAGTTAGTTTGTTGCTGTTTTAAGAGTTTGTTTAGAAAACTGCTTTTGTTGATTGTAGCGAATTCGCGGATTAGCTTTCTTTAGCTGTTTTGAATTAAGTTCTTTTGAATGTTTGAGTAGTTAAAAGATAACTACTGTGAGATATTGTAATTCTGCACGATAATTTGAGGAAATTTAAGCATATTTGTTGTAATAATAATAAATTTTGTTCATTTTTCATCGGACTTGTGCATTCATTTCGTAACGAACCTGTACGCACGCAACAATTTTTGGTGTCAGAAGAGGGATTTGAATGGCAATAACAAGAGCGATGGAAGAGCAGTTGAGGCAGTTGATACCAGCCTTTGCCTCGTTTAAGGAGGAAATGAAAGCGGGACAAGAAGAAATGAAAGATGAGATGAAATCTGTTCACGAGAAGTTGGAAGCTGGTCAAGTAACTTATAAAGTAGACATAAAAGCTGTACAAGAAAAGATTTGAAGCAGGTCAAGACGAAATGAAAAGAGAAATAACCTGCGTAATAGAAAGTAAATTTGAGGCTATGGAAGACAGAATAGGAGCTGTCGAAAATAAAGTCGGGCAAATTGAAGAAAAGGTTTCTTCTGTCAAAGTTGAAATAGAAGATAGAGTGTCGTCTGTGGAGCAACGAGTCGAAGGAAGAATTTCGGCCTTTCAACAACAAATTGAAGAAAGAGTTTCTGCCGTCCAAGGACATATTGAACAACAAATCGAAGGCAGAATTTCTGCTGTCGTCTTCAAAGAAGTTGACACTTTAAAAAAATACGTAGCGACGGCAGGGAGAGCACTTCGGATGGTTTAAAATTTCTACCCATGCCTGTTCATCCCTCTCTGAAGCCATCGACATATGATGGGAAGACCTCCTGGCAGGTGTATAAGACACAATTTTCTATCCTGGCGGATGCGAATGGATGGGATTGCCAAGCTAAGGCCTGTCATCTCGCCGCTTCTTTAAGAGCCGACGCAGCGGATATCCTTCAGACTCTTCCCGAAAACAAAAGGTTAAATTTCGAAGCTCTGTCCGGCGCCTTCGAGCTGCGCTTTGGGGAAAAGTGTTTAAAAGACTATAGCAGGCTCCAATTAAAATCTCGTCAACAGAAGCCTACCGAAACACTTCAGGAGTTGAAAAGCTGTCCCATCTTGCCTTTTGCAGAAACAAGGGAAATCCTGTCCTTGCAATACTTTATCGACGGCATCCGGGATACTGAAATACAGAAAGCTCTACGAATGGCGGATGTAAAAGATTTAAAAAGCGCTCTAGTGTACGGCATGAAATTCGAGGCAGCCCAACAAGCAACTCGTTAAAAAACTCGTTAAGACCGCCACCCAATCAGAGCTGCTCATGTCCAGGAGCCAAGGGATCAAGTCACTGTTCGTCTAGACGATATAACCAGGGACAGAGAAAAGTGGACAGAGCACCAGAACTTCGTCAGTGACTTTTACAGGTGTTGCTCCGCCGCACTACTGTACCTCGCTGGGCTTTTGTTGGCCCGCATCGGATGCTAGCCTACCAAGACATTTACATAGTAATTTTACATTAATACTAGACTTACGTATTGAATATACAATTACAAAGACACAGTATACAATTATTACAAAGAAATTGACCTATTAACAAAAGTTGGATTACGGCAGATTAATATAACATAATTACTTCGAACATACATGATACAAACTTTCATTGTACATTGTACTTCATACAAAGAATATATTTACATTAGTATATCTAGTTACATCGAATTACAATAAACATCTTTTTAAGGAACTAATTGGGGAATAATTTTTTTTTTGTGCATCTCATTATATTTAGTTGAATTCCTAAGGCGAATTATCTTATTAATACATTTCCTTTCATTTTTTAACTTGTTACACACAACTGCATCAGTACTGAAGTCTTACATTATTATTTTTGTAAATTATGTATCATAAACACAGAAAATATACATTAGAAAATCACATAATACTTACATTTACACTAATATATCTAAAAGAGTCGTATATTATTTTTAATAATGATTTGATTATTACCTCCTCATCTCCTAATACAGTCCAAATTCTTAATGTAATTATTTTGTAAAAACTATTCATACCATATTTAGCCTTTTTTCAGACATTTGCAATATTTCTGAAATCTTGCATTATTTTTGCAAGTTATATAATAAGAGGTATTCACACAGATATGATAACATCTTGACATATGTCTTCTCTTTTATATGAGAAAAGTTTCCTCATAATCAAGGAAACCTTTTGTCGTAATTGAGGAAGCATGCATTTAATGTACTCAGGCGTAATTTCTGACCAATATAACCAGACAACTCAATATAAATGAAAAGAAACCGACCTTAAAATGTTGGAACTGTGGAGCTGAAGGACACATACGGCGGAACTGCAGAATAACCCGGGGCACGGATGTTAAGACCGCTCTTAGCAAGCAGCAGGGAAACTAATTAGTGGCCATCTCGTGGGGCCGAGGTTGCCAGATAATGTAAAGCGCCAGTTTAAAGCGCTTCAAATTTCTGCAGTCAGAGGCGGCAGTAATGGACTTTTCGTAATAGGACATATTAATGGAAATCCCTGCAATATGACGATAGATACAGGAGCAACCGTTACCATCATCCGAAAAGATGTGGCTCAACAACTGGGAAGCAAACTTATCTGGACGCCGCCCTGCGTTACCCCTCCAGACTGTGTCCGGTGAGAAGATCGACATCGATGGAAAAGTAAATGTTAACATCACGTTTGGAAGTGCCGCTTACCATCACACGGCATATGTAGCAGAGATCACTGATTCCTTGCATACTCGGATTGGACTTTCTAAGGAAATACAATTTTTTCCTTGGACTTTAAAAATAACGAAATTGCATTCTACATCTGAGGACATAGCGTTATTTGAAGTTAATGATGAAGAAGTTAAATCTGTCCATAAAATCATAGCACAAGACAATATCACAATACCCGCAAGAACCGAAATTTTACTTCCTGGATCCATAGCCGAAAAAAAGAAATTTCCGCTACGGCATCATAGAATATCCCAATAACTGTAATAGCCCAAAAGGAGTACTAGTAGCCTCAACACTCGTCGACCTATCCAGAACGGTTATCCGGGTGAGAGTCGCCAATGTAACTGAGAAGGGGAGAATTATTAAGAAAGGTGAAGTGGTTGCAGCATGTACTCCAGTAACCACCATTGAAAGAAAGAGTAACATCCAAGAATCCGTGTCCTCAGAGAGCATTACATCGGAGTTATTGCAGAATGCGCAATTAAACGATAAGAGAGGAATGCTGCTGCCGATCGCGTCATTAAAGATCTTCAAGTTGTTTTCTCCCGCTCGTCTTCTGACGTGGGTCGAACTAGTTTGACACAACATAGAATAGATACGGCGATCATCCCCCGATCAAGCAACATCCAAGACGTCTACCGTTTGCTAAACAGGAAGAGGTGCGAACACTGTTAAAAGATATGGAAGAAGCGATGTCATCGAGCCTTCAGCAAGTCCATGGGCATCTCCCATCGTCGTCTTAGTCAGAAAGAAAGACGGCTCAACAAGATTTTGCGTTGACTATCGCCGGTTGAATGAGGTTATTACGAAGAAAGACAGTTACCCTCTTCCTAGAATTGACGACATTCTAGACACTCTTTTCTGGAAGCAAGTGGTTCTCAACACTTGATTTAAAGAGTGGGTATTGGCAGGTAGAAATACATCCTGATGACCGAGAAAAGACGGCATTTACTACGGGACAAGGGCCTTTGGCAATTCAAGGTGATGCCGTTTGGACTGTGTAATGCGCCGGCAACATTCGAACGTCTTATGGAGACTGTTTTTGAAAGGCCTTTCCTACGAAGCCTGCCTGATATACCTGGACGACATCATCATCGTCGGAAAGAGTTTTGAAGAACATTTAGAAAATCTTAGGAAGGTGCTTCAGAAACTGAAAGAAGCCCCAATCTGAAGCTGAGTCCCCGCTAAATGCAAATTGTTCCGAAAGGAAGTGACTTACCTGGGACATGTCATCTCTGCAGAAGGTGTGTGCACGGATCCTGAAAAGGTATCAGCGGTTAAATCCTGGAAACGTCCCCGAAAATGCCCATCAGCTGAGAAGCTTCCTAGGGCTTTGCACCTACTATAGGAGATTCGTGAAGGACTTTTCTTCCATCGCAAGACCCCTTCACAAGCTGACAGAGAGCAAGCAAAAGTTCTTGTGGACAAAAGAATGCGAGGATGCATTTAACAACTTAAAGGAAGCTTTAACATCTGCTCCAATCCTGACGTATCCTCAGCTCGACAGACCATTTATTCTCGACACGGACGCGAGCAATGAAAGTGTCGGTGCTGTTTTGTCCCAAGAAATAGACGGCCAAGAACGTGTAGTCGCTTACTGGAGCAAGTGCCTGTCTAAACCGGAGAGGAATTACTGTGTCACCAGGAAAGAGTTGCTCGCCATAGTCAAAGCCGTAGAGCATTTCCATCATTATCTATACGGCAGAAAATTCCTGCTCCGCACCGATTATGCATCATTGACCCTGGCTTTTAAATTTCAAGAATCCTGAGGGTCAAATAGCCAGGTGGATACAGAGACTCCAGGAATATGACATCACTATCCGTCGCCAAGAAAGCTGCCGCTTTTGTTCCAGGGTCGAAGCGAAATACGAGCTGCTGAGTCCGGTTGCACGACAATTACGACATCAACAGCGGCTGATCCAGACCCGTGGAGTGATGAGGAAATCAGGAAAGACCAGCTCGAAG